GGCTCAGGACTCAAGGTCTTCTAAAACTAGCGTCTGCCTAAACGTGTCTCCCACAACTGCCCAACCCCCCACCCACAGGCCACCGCCTGCATGGGCCATTTGCTCAGGGTTCCACTCTGGCTTGGAGGGCATCTTCCTTCCCCTGCCCCAGTGAAGTTCTGCCTCCACTTCCCTGCCTACCCACTGAGCTCCACCCCTTTTAGGAAAATACTTTCTCTTCGTCCAGAAGACTGGTCCCCACCTCCACCCATTTTGGAGCCCTCCTGTGCACCGAGGTGCATCTGAGCTCCTAACAGGCTGCTCTGAGGCGCTCTCTTCATGTATGTTAGACTTCCATGTTCCTCTAAAATAGGACTTCCCTAATGACAGGAACTTGGTGTACTATTTTCTTTCCTCCCAGCAAAAGGCACCTTTGGTGAATCTGTATGGAATAACAACCCTGGGCCATTTGAGGGCCCTCTCGGGGGCCCCCTAGCCCCTGGCTAGCTGTGTCACCCTCCTTGGTATTTCTGCAAAGACAGGAAGTTCCTGAGGATAGATCCCTGCTGACTAAAGCCTCTCCTACAGGAATGCAACAGAAAGCACTGGGCTCTGCGTCAAAGACTTGGGTTGGTTTTGGCTCTGACTCCAACTTGTCATGTGACTGTGGACCTGGTCCCCCTCTTCCTTCGTCATCACCTTCCTTATCTGAAAATGAAGGAACTGGCCTACGCATAAGATTGTTCTTCAAATTCTAGATCCCTTCCTACCAGATACCTTATACACACTTAGAGAGGCGGAGGGTTTGAGGGCATATGCTTAAGGATTCCTGGGAAGAGCGGTAAGACAGGAAACAGTTAAATGAAGAACAATTAGCTCAAGTTAGAAAGACATCGTCCAAGAAAAGGGTGGGAGAAGGGACGTGGAAACAGGGGCAGGGAGGCTCTGTGCCCACATTAGTGCAGACGGCCACGCCTTCTGCCCGAAAGGAGAATTGCTCCCACAAACCATCAGATGAAGACACAGGAAAGAAAGTAAGCTTTCCCGGCATCCCATTTCTTTCCTTTGTAGACTTAACACAACTAAAATAATGACTTATTTAAATTATTAATAATGACTCCTCTATCACACTAGTGAGCTTCAGGAGGCTAAGACCGGACCCATCTGCTTTACCCATCATCCACCATCACCAGCAGTGTTCTGTAAACAGTAGGTGTCCAAGAGTTGCCCAATAAATTAACATATAAAACATAACATTAGGTACAAGTATACCACATTAGGTAATCAGCTTTAACTGAAAACTAATTTCAGAGATGAGGATCTAAAATGTCAAGCCTCCCTGCCCTTCCCCCTCTGCAAACATTTTCCCCCCTTCGGATTTATATACTTCAAGAGAAATTAATAGAGAAGACTAACTCTCTATTACTGAACAAGGATTCATTTAATTAACTTCTCCTGAACTCTATGTACAAAAAAGGTAGAAGAGTTACTGAACAGTTACCCTTCTTCCCTGCCCAAACCCCCTGACCGAAGCAGACGGACAAAAGCCACCCTGACTGGGAGTCATCACTCCTGGCAGCTACACAGCCCTTCAACTCCAGGGATTCCTTAAGAACAGTCTAAAGATCACTGAGTCTCCAGTGAGCAGAGCTAGGTTCAGAATCCAAGGCTCCACACTCTTTGAGTGACCCTCAGACTAACTCAGTAAGTCCAACTGAGTTTAAAAGGAAAGATGGTTAATCTCGTTAGACATCACCTTCAATTCAAATAATCCTCTCCTAGGCAATCTTGTATTTATTTATTTTTATTATTATTATTTTTTAATGTTTTATTTATTTCCAGCAGAGAGAGAGAGAGAGAGGGAGAGAGAGACAGTGTGAGCAGGGGAGGGTCAGAGAAAGAGGGAGTCACAGACTCTGAAACAGGCTCCAGGCTCTGAGCTGGCAGTCAGCACAGAGCCCGACGCAGGGCTCGAACCCACGAACCGCGAGATCATGACCTAAGCGAAAGTCGGACGCTTAACCGACTAAGCCACCCAGGTGCCCCTCCTAGGCCATCTTTTAAAAGAAACCCCAAAACCCATTTGTTCTTATTTGGGGATAAGGAGGGGGGGAGGGGGTAGCTCATCATGCTTAGGCTGTGATTACATTATAACACAATCAAATAAACTTCATTTTAATTAAAGAAAATATGCTCCCCCATTAAAATCCTCTCTTCAGGCCACTCTGAAAGCTGATGGATCCTGTACACACCTCCTCATGCCACTGGGTTACTTGTTCCCTAGGGATTTCTACTTTAAGAGCAGGTGCATGAGCCTAGGAGGAGGCATCACTACAGAAAGGATGAAAGTGGGGCTGTCACTGAAAAAGATGAAAAAATAGAGAGTTCACATTAGCTCCCAAAACAATGAAATACTACTTAGGTATATTATAAGATCCATATGAGGAAAACTATAAAACTCTGAAACAAAACAAAGAAGAGCTAAATAAATGAAGAGATATTCCATGTTCATGAATAGGAAGGCTCAATATTGTAAAGATGTCAGTTCTTCCCACCTTGATCTGTAGATTCAATGCAATCCCAATCAAAAGCACAGCAAGTTATTTTGTGAATACAGACAAAGTGATTCTAAAGCTTACATGGAGAGGCAAAAGACTCCAAATAGCCAACACAATATGGAAAAAGAAGAACAAAGTCAGACATCATTCAACTCTAAGACTTTCAATAAAGTCACAGTAATCAAGACAATGTGATACTACTGCCAAAAGAAGAGACAAAAATCAATGCAACAGAACAGAGTACACAAACAGACCCACATAAATACAGCCAACTGATCTTTGATAAAGGAGCAAAGGCAATATAATGGGGAAAAGACTATTTTCAATAAAAAAGTTAAAACAACTGAAGACCCACATACAAAAACAAAAAACAAAAAACAAAAACCAAACAAAAAAACGCCCCCAAAAACCCAAATCCAGACACAGAACTTACATCCTTTATAAAAATTAACTCAAAATGAATCAAAAACTATAAAATTCCTAGAAGATAGCAAAAGTAAATCTAGATGATCTTTGGTTTGGTGATGACGTTTAGAATGCAATACCAAAGGGTTGATCCATGAAAGAATACATAAGCTGGATTTCATTAAAACGAAAATGTTTCTGCTCTGCAAAAGACAGTGTCAACAGAATGTAAAGACAAGATACAGACTGGGAGAGAATGTTTGCAAAAGACAACATCTGTTATCAGAGAAATGCTTTTTTTTTTTTTTAATGTTTTATTTATTTCTAGGAGAGAGAGAGAGAGAGAGAGAGAGAGAGAGAGAGAGAGAGAGAGAGAGACAGCATGAGCAGAGGAGGGTCAGAGAGAAAGGGAGTCACAGACTCTGAAACAGCCTCTAGGCTCTGAGTTGGCAGTCAGCACAGAGCCTGACGCAGGGCTCGAACCCATGAACCGCGAGATCATGACCTAAGCGAAAGTTGGACGCTTAACTGACTAAGCCACCGAAATACAATTAAGACCAGATGCCACCACATACCTGTTAGAATGACCAAAATCCGGAACACTGACACCACCAGAAGCTGACAAGGATGTGGCGCAAGAGGGACTCTCCTATGCTCTGGTGGGAATACAAAACGGTACCACTATTTTGGAAGACAATTTGGTGGTTTCCTACAAAGGTAAACATTCTCTTACCATACAATTCAGCAATCATGCTCGCTGGTATTTATCCAAAGGGGTTGAAAACTTACCCCAACCTGCACATGAATGTCTCTAGCAGCTGTATTCCTAACTGTCAAAGCTTGGAAGCTGCTAAAGAGTCCTTCAGGTAAATGGACAAATGAACTTTGCCTCAACCAGACAATTATGCAGCATTAAAAAGACGGGAGATATCAAGTCATGAAAAGACATGGAGAATGTTAAATGCATGTTACTAAGTGAAAGAAGTCAAGCTGAGAAGGCCACATACTGTATGAACCCAACTATGACATTCTGGAAAAGGCAAAACTATGGAGACAGGGCTTGGGGGGATGAACAGGAAGAGCACAGAGGATTTTAGGGCAGTGAAAACACTAGAATGATGGACACACGCTGTTACACATCTGTCCAGACCCACAGGACGTGTGACACCCAGAGTGAGCACTGAGTATGGTATGGACACTGAGTGATCAGGAAGTGCTGTCCCGGATCATCACCGATAACAAGGGCACCACACCGGCGGGGGATGCTGGCCGGGGGCGGGGGCGGGGGGGGGGGGAGGCGGTGCAAAGGGTATACGGCAAATCTCTGTACCTTCTTATTTTGCTGTGACCCTAAGAAATAAGCCAAGAGGTTTAAATGCATCGGCACGGATGACAAAGCATATACTCTGAATATCCAAATACAGGTAAAGATTGCTTTCAAAACTGTTAAAACATGCACCTGGCTTAGCTGGGACAACTGAATGACCCAGCTTAGTGCTTTGAGGAGAAATGAGCAGGTGAAGTTCGTGGCAAGCTCTGATTAGGTCAAACCGAATGGTAATTGCAATCTTACAGTTCCCTTAATAGATTCAGTAGTAACACACTCTGATCTCCCACCCTTTTTTTTCAACAGATGAAGCCATCTATAGATGTCACCAAGGACAAACACACACTCCAGATCGGGTCCAAACGAAACCATCCCCACAACACAGTCTGGCTTCTCACTTGCCCCCCGCTCCCCCCGCTCCCGGGCTCCCTCGGTCAGGTGACGGTGCTGCCTCACTAGCTGTCTGTCCATGGCTTTTCTCTTCGGTTCTGGACAGGTAGCAGAGACAGATCACGAAAACCCAAGAATCTTTCTTCGGCACCTACCGGCCTGTCTTGCGACAGAAGGCGGAGCACAAGCTGTCCTGCTGCAGGCCCCAGGCCGCGCCCCCAGCAAGTGCAGGCCGCAGAGGTCCAGCCTGTCATGCTACCTCTAACACCTACGCGAGCGTGGAGACCTGTTCCAAGGCTTCTGACTGACCCATGTACGTGCGCCGCCTCCTACAGCAAGGACGCTCCGCTAGAGAAACACGGGGGCAGGGTGGTCCCACGCTCCTTGTCTCACACGCCTCCCACCTGTGTGCAGCAGAGGACCGGGCCTAGCTCTCACGCCGCCCTGCCGGGGACAGACGTGCGAGATCGGGACCTGCGCCACAAGGCACAGCGGCTCCCTTCTGTATTCTCGTCTTCAGGTACTTGCCTTCCCCCCACTGCCCATTGTAAGCAAGAGACAAGGCAGACCCAAGCAGGTGGTCCCGCAGCTCTTCCTGTCCTGCTCACGCACTGTTTGTACCGCGGTGGTGGCAGAGGTGAGGGGCTGAGCTGCACTGCTCCGCCACGTGCACCGACCGCAGCAGACCCGACCTCACCCATGAGAGGCTGTGGGGACTTGGGGATAAGCTGACAGTTCTATCAGACTTGCTGCTGCTACCCTGCTTCAGGATCCTGGAGGAGGGTGGTGGGGGGAGAGTGGGCACCGGTGATAAACTGCCGGAGTTTATTTAACTGCCAAGAAATGTTTAAAACACAGAGGGTGAGGCCCAGTGTGCAGTTCGGAGATAATGCCTAGGATTTATGCTCCTGGCAAAGCTCTGGAATCTTGCTTCGCAGGCTCTCTGAACTGGCAGCAGAAAATGTATCCAAAACCCTCTGTTTCCTGTGGGTCCAGCTGACACCGTGTGGACACGGGCCATCATGGAGCACGAACGGGGACCATCATGGAGCACGCATACGGCTGGCTGACTGGAGTGAGGCTTGCACATTCTTTCGCCTTGTTTGGGGAGAGCAGCAGGCCAGACCTGACATGCTGCAGATGAGCTCAGAGATAAAAGGGTTAGAAATGATAGGGGCTGACATTGTGCTGACCTTTCTACAGGAATTTCATTTTCAAAACAAACAAAATTATAAGCTTCTCCCCTAGCAACTCCTATAAGAAATACTGATCAAAATGTAAACATTGTTAAATCTCATTTTTTCTGACTAGGAAGTATTTACATAAGAAAAATTATGTTAGAAATCACACCGCATGCAGGGGCTTGATCTGATGAGACAAAATTTTCAGCATTGAGACCCATGTTTTTCTTTATCTTGCCCTGTTGTGCTATAGGACATATGGTAGATAAAAACCACCCACTGCTCGGCTACTCCCAATTAAGAGTCATAAAGGGTTATTATGCACGGAGCAGTTTATGAAGGGCCTTGTTTTAGAGGTGACCTGCCGTACGGAATTTAAGTCAGAGAGCTGCTCAATCAGATGAGGGCTGACAGCCAAAGAGGAAGGGGAAGCTGACCCCCACCCTAAAACTACTTAACACCCCTAAAGAGCCTCCTCACCCTGTCACTAAAGCTCACAGGATCTATACTTAGAAAGCATAGCCTCTACATAAACCACAATTAATTCATTTCTCTGTCTTTCATTTTTTAGGGAAAATACATCAATCTTTGGATTGAAAAGAAGAATGCCACTTTTGCCTTTTCTTCATAAATCTACAGGAGACAAAAAAAACCAAACAAACCCCGTCACCAATCTGCACCTCTCTCCCCCAGCCGGCTCCATGGTCCCCTGTGACTCTGTGGCAGTCGCAGCACTGCAAAGTGACACACATTAGGCGGTCACAGCAGGGGTAGAGCTGCGGGGGAAGATACAGGGAAAGGAGGAGGCCGTGGCTCTGGCTCCAGCGCTCAGGGCCTCTTACTAAACCAGCAGTAAACTTAAACACAAAGTACATCCCAGAAGGCAAAATGACAGAATGGATACAGTTGGAGGAATGTCCTTAGAGAGAGGCAACCATCCACTGGAGGCATCAAATGGGAAGAAGGGGCTTCTTAAGCTCGGAATTGGGCCATGAAGTCTTTTCAGGATGCTTCTTTCTCCCCAGCAGACCGTCCACCCAGAAGGTTTAAGGGAGCTTCTACTGGTGCAGCAAAAACTCCCTTCTGAGAGGCATTTGCAGAAGCAAAAGAAGAAGAATAAAAAGATAGTGTCTACACATTATTAAATTAATAAAAATGAAACTAACAAAAAAAGAAAGTCAATTTTAGGGCTGGGCAAATTTTCAAAACTTGACGTAATTATAAAGCTAAATATTTACAATTTAACAGATGTCCATAAAATGCTTTAAAAAGAGGTTTATTTAAAAAATGCACCTGGGTCCTCCACAAATGTTTACATTTATGCTAGGTGTCTCTCATACAAACCCAGGTAAATACATGGTACTAAAGTACAAGAAGAACCATTTACTACTTATAATAAGTGCTTTTCTTTCTTTTAAAGTCAAATGTCAAAAATGTAAGTTTTATGTAAGTAACAAAGGGTCTCCCAAACTGGCCTCCTTAACCATCTTCATGGAAAAGCAGGTGACTGATGTTGTCCAAACATCAGAAATGCAGACCCTGGGGCACCTCAGTGGCTCAGTCAGTTAAGCATCTAACTCTTGGCTTCAGCTCAGGTCATGATCTCACGGTTTGTGAGACAGAGCCCCACATCGGGCACCATGCTAACAGTGTGCAGCCTGCTTGGGATTCTCTCTCCCTCTCTCCCTGCCCTCCCCTGCTCACTCGCTCTCTCTCTCTCTCAAAAATAAATAAACAAAAAAACAATTAAAAAATTAAAAAAAAAAAAAGGAAATGCAGACCTTCAAATGGTTTCTCCTTTTGAGCCAAATAAATACTGGTAAGTCAGGCCTTCCTAGAGGGCAGCTGAGAAGCAAAGGGTAGAAAGGCAAAGGGCAATTCTCACACAGAATAATTTTAGGTGATATTTATTATAATCTTAAGTGCTAGAAGGTCTGTGTGGGGCAAGGCAGCCTGTAGGTTACTGCACTGCACCTGGATACAGTTTTCTCTACAAGAAATAAAAAGACCAATTCCTTTGCATAAGAAAAAAAAAAGAAATACAGTTCCTATCACCTCCAAAGGCTGAGAGGATATATCACCTCTCTCCCACCAGGAGGAGGTGGCTGTGATAGAAAACAGTGTCAGAAAACCCAAGTTCAAATCCTACTCTGCCATTCGCCCGTGGTGCACCCTATGACTTCACCTTGCTGCCCGTGGTGCACCCTATGACTTCACCTTGCTGGGCTCAGTGTCTTTACATTTAAGCCAGGAATGGAAATGATGCCTCCACTATGGGGTGGTGCCAGATTTGAATGAGACCAGGCACTTGCTAAGCTGTCCAATGTGAACCAGTCAAGCCGAGGGGAAAAGAACCACCACACCTCCCATGTTGATCATTTTATAAGCAGTCCTTAGTGTTCCTGAGTTGCATGTGAAGAAAAGGCACAACAGAATTGAAGGAAAAGAGAAGTGTTCATGGGATACAAAGATCCTTCCTCCCATAAGCCATGTGAGTAAGTCCTGAAAATTTAGCACATTCACAAAAGTTTGTTTGAGCAAATGAAAGAGTCTCTAACATCCAAGACCATGGAAAAGTGATGGACTTTTATGACTAGGTAGCACCAGTCTAGTCCGATCACTCTAAAGGTCGAGAGGGAAAATCTATCTACCCAGTAAAGCCTAGATCTCAGGGTAGCATCATCCATGTGAAAGGAGGCTCCCGCCATCAAAGATCTAGTCTGTCCTAGCCTAGAGATGAACTGAGCCACAACCACACCTGCCCCCTGAGATCAGGGCGCCGTGTCAAGCATTAGCATAGGGCTGGGGATGAAAGAGTGACAATACAGACAGGATTTTATGGTCTGGTCAGGGAAATAACCATATCATCCATAAACAGAATGACAAACTATGTGGTGTTCTGAAGGAAAAAGACAGGGAGATAGGACAGTATACGTGGAGGGTGGCGGGGAGAAACCTGGTTTTACAGGGTGGAGATGGGGGTGGGGTCTCGGGGGAATACTGTTTGACACGGAATATAAATGATGAACCGGAATCACAGAGGTAAGGGTAACTGGTGGGAAGAAAAGGGGACAGAGTGTTCTAGGCAAGGGGAACAGCGCATGTAAAGCTGGAGAAAAAAAGGCCGGCACAGACAAAACACGATGGAATGGGACAAGAGACACGGCTGATGAGCTCAACAGGGGCCGTGGGGCGGAGCATAGGGTGGGCAAGGGGAACATATAAGAATTTGGGCTTATTCTCCAGGAGCAAGAAGCCATTAAAATGTTTATGCAGAGGAATGACCTGCTCAGAGCTACATTTTGAAAAATATCAGAGGGCTGCCCCGTGAAGAATGAATTCTAGGATGCAAGAACAAAAGCAGATGGGTCTGCAGTGAGGCCACTACAGGGAGCAGGTGAGAGGTGATGGCAGTCTGGGCTAAGGTGGTGGACACGGACACAGAGATGAAGAGAAGGGGACAGGTTCAAGTAAAGCTGAGGAGACAAAATCACAATGGCTTGCTGACTACTCCGATGGGGCAGCCAGGCCACGGAAGGTGTCTGGCAGTGGTGCGACACAGGGGCTGAGGGAGACCGAATAAACCCACCTGGAAGGAGGGACAAACGGGGAGTAACACTGGATGAACTCTGGTGTCTGGCTTTGATGAATGGCAACGCCATTCTCCAAGACAGGGAAGGCAAGGAAAGGAAAGGTTAGAAGAAGATGGTCTGTTTGGGTCATTTGACATCTGAGGTGTCTGTCGAAAGAAGATATATGGGTCTGAAGCCCAAGGAAGCATCTGGGCTAAAGGTCTAGACTTAAGCCATCAGCACACAGGTGGTAGCTGAAGCCTCTCTAAAGGTGTCCTGCAAGGACAGAACAAGGAAAAGGCTGAAGATTACCAACACTTACAGGGCGGGGATGGAGTAAGCTCTGTAAAGGATGCACAGGGAAGACGAGAACAGCAGAGGTGGTACCCAGAAACTCGAGAAGAACACATAAAGGGTGATGAACAGTATCAAGTGCTATAAAGAGGGCCAAAAAGAGAAAAGGAAACAGGGGGGACAAGTATCTTTCGGCTTTTGAGACTGGACCAGCGGCGGCAGATTCTGAAGACAGCCACTTCAGTCGGCTGTAAGATACACAGGCCCCGCTGCAGTGGGCGCAGAAGTCGAAGTGGCGAGAGAAAACAGGGAGTTAGAAGGGGACGCTGGCAGTGGTGGTGGTGAAGGTGTACGCTCGTGTGAATGTTTTGTTTTTGTTGTTGTTTTTCATATTAGAGAGGAGAAGCATGCTACCTGCTGGGAAGGACCCCTTCAGACAGTCTACCGGAGACTTCTTCCACAGAAAGGAAAAGAAAGCACCCCGAAGGCCCCGTGTGATGAGGGAAGGCAGACACTAACAACTTCAGGTTAGACAAACGTGAGACCCTGTTTGCCCCAGGAGAGGGTAATGTTATTTTATAAATGGAAAACCCCACCAAAGATAAATGGCAAGGACCACTGGCCTCCATGGAGAAAGCCAGAAAAGCCTGGAATGGGGACCGCAGATGCTCATCACTGAATCCTCACTGCGTTAAACGATACTCATGGGAATGCCCCCTAGCAAGTATGCCTCACAGAAGAGAAACACGGCGGGCCAAATAAAAGGACCCAGAAAAGTACCAAATACATCATACCAGACATTTTGAAGAAAGAGTGGACTGAGTCCATTAATCACTATCCAAACCCCGAAAATGCTCAGAAAGCTACTGGTAAATTTTTGTTGAGTTTAAAATTGCAAAGTTGCTCTGCTTAAAGTTCTCCAAGTACGTAATGGCTGGATTAAGCAAGAGAGTTGTCCATACTTTTTCCTAAATATAGAAGAGCCTGAATAGAGAACAAATAAGGAGGCAAAGTCACAATGACAGCTGTCACCTTCACCACTTCATGTAAAGCACACCAAACCCCTAGAGCTTGCGGACTTCATCTGCAAAGGTTTTATTCTGACTCTTGATTCCAACTGCGAACATTTCTACTCTACTGTAGAAAAAAACTTTCTGGGGGCGCCTGGGTGGCTCAGTGGGTTGAGTGTCTGACTTCGGCTCAGGTCATGACCTCACAGTTTGTGAGGTCGAGCCCCACAATGGGCTCTGTGCTGTCAGCTCACAGCCTGGAGCCTGCTTCGATTCTGTGTCTCCCTCTCTCTCTGCCCCTCTCCCGCTCACATTCTATGTCTCTAAAAAAATAAACATTAAAAAAAAAGGATTTTAGGAAAAGACTTTCTAATCTTCAAGCCCTATATTTTATAGAGATAAAAACGCAAGTCAGAGAAGGAACTTCCAAGATTACAAAGTATGACACAGTCCAGTTTTACTTTCTAAAAAATGGCAACTTGAAGTAGGCAAAATAACAGAACATTCAAAAAGACTCAAAGAGATCTCTGCTCAAAATGGCACGTGTCCACTGGGTCAAACATTTAGACACCAGGGCTCAGATTTCTGTAATCTGAACCTGCTCTCAAAGTGATGGTCACTCAAGTCAGTGTTATACCTAAGAAGCAGCTGCTATTTTCCCATAGCAGCTCCAAATGTAAACCCAAACTTAAAGCCCAAAAGAGAGCGTCATTTGTCTAATTAAACTATTCAATGCTCACTTCTTCATAAAACAATGATTAATCTTTAACTTGTAG